GGGCGAGGCGGCGGGTCCGGCTGCCGTGGGACGCTGCTGGCCGCGGGGCTGGCGAGGGCCGCGGGAGCCTGGCTCCGGGCTCCGGCGGCTGCTGATGGGAGGCGGCGGCCACCATGGGGAACAAGCAGACCATCTTCACCGAAGAGCAGCTGGACAACTACCAGGTGAGCCCAGCGCGCCCCGGCCCCCGAAGCGGCGCCTCTCCGGACCTCCCCTCTTTTTCCCGTCGCTTGCCGAGGCCTCACGAAAGCCACATCACCGGGGTTCAAGCCCGGTCGCTGCCTTCAGCTCGCAACTTGACCTTGGGCCGGTGACTTCCCCTCGCCGAGCCTCAGTTTCCCCACGCGGGGAATGAGAGCGCTTTCCAGTTGGAAGATTCTCTCAGGCGCGCCTCGCTGCAGCTACGTCTCCTGTCTCCCCCATTCAGCCTTCCTACTTCCCGCCCGAGGCTGGACCCGAGCCCCTCCCCGGCCACCCATCCCAGCGCCCACCCTGGCACGGAGATGGAGAGTTAGTAAACGTGGGCTGGGCAAAGGAGCACCCTTGGCTCCTCCCCGCCCCCCAATTCCAGGAAGAATCCCAGGAGAGGGAGTCTCTGTAAAGCAGAAATGAGCTGGGGTCTTATGTTAGCTGGGAGTGGGGTGCATCAGCCCCAAATACGGTCTTAAGTTGGGGACGTCCTGCTTATCTATTAGGGTTCCTCCTTCTGACCCCAGCACAGAGTTAACTGGAGCAAGCCAGGTACCAGCCTTACATGGTCACCTCTCCAAGATCCCTCAAGCCCCCAGCAGCCACCCCTTAGACCCTTTGAGGTCTCCCTGCCTGCAGAGCTGGCTGTCCAGATCGGGGATCCCTATGTTCTCCCACCCACAAAAAAACTTTTCTGTGGTTGCAGGATGAAGCCCAACCCCCTGGCTTGCCCAGAGCCCTGGCTAGCTGCCCAGCTCACCTCTGCAGCCCCAGTCTTCCTTTCCTGCCCTCTGCACTGCAGCCATTTTGGAACAATTCGCAGTTTCCCCAACCTGCCAGGCTCTCTCCTCCTTCCCTCTCTTTGACTGTGCTGTTTCCTGGGCCTGGGATGCCTCCCCATGCTCTCTCCAGGTGATCTCCCTCATCCTCAAGGCCCGACTCTGATGCCTCTTCCCTGACTCCCCCAGGCAGAGGGGGAGGAACTGTGTTGTCACCTGTGTACCTGGGAGAAGCATGCCAGCAGGGTCTTCATGGTTGCTTTCATGAATACTTATTTTGGCATGAAGGAAAGTGGGCTTGAATTGTGGGTTCTCTGATGTGGTTCTCTTCTGTCACCTGGAAGACCTAGTCGTCAATAACAGATTTCTCAGCTCCCCATGTGAGGCCCTGGGAAGGAGGAAGGGATTCACATTTATGTAGTGCCTGCTGTGTCCCAGGCACTGTAGTTGGGCACCCTCTATACATCAACTTATTTGCATATTACAGTGAAGTGGGTCATTTGCCCCATTTTACAGAAGAGTAAACAGAAATTGAGGAGTTATTCAGTACCCTGGTCAATCAGGGCTCACACAGGAATTTGAATCTTGAATCCAAGGCTCGTTCCTTTCATTTGCTGTGGGCTGGCCTGGGGTTGTCCCCAAGACACTCACCGCCTAGTGAGACAGACTCTCACCTCCAGCATGGCCCTTGTGGTAGAGGCAGGTGGTGGAGTGTGTTCTAGGAGAGGTCACTAGTCGGCAGTAGGATGTGTTCTAGTGGCCAGTGGGAGGCCAGCAGGGAAGGGGGCTTCAGCTTTGACTGGAAGTTTCAGAAACAATGCAGTATTTGAGCAGGCCTTCAGAGGATAGGTAGGATTTTGTCCAGCAGGGCCCCAAAGGAGGCATTCTAGGTGGAAGGGAGAGCGTGGATAAAGGCTTGGAGGTGGACACAGGCAAGCAGGCAGCCCATGCTCAGAAGCAAAGGGTAGCCTCGTTGGGGTGGTAAGCCCGGGTTCCCACTCAGCCCAACCTGGCATTGGGTTACCCGTCTGAGCCAGTCCCTGTCCTGGGTTCTGATCCTTTGCCAGAGCTGGCTAGACCCCGCTAGGCGGGTGGGAGAAATGAGAGCTGTGAAATCTGAGAGCCTTACATCTCCTTTCTGGTTTCCCATCCAGCCATGGCCAGCCAGGGCCAGTGTGTGTGACCCTGAGTTACAGGACCCACTCCCCTGAGTAACCCCCAGGGTTTCTTGGGACTTCCTAGCCTGGCAGTCTTCTCTTCCCAAGGCAAGGCACTTCCCTCCCTGGTTCTAAAGTTCAGGCTTCTGCCAGACCACTCCTCTGCATTGCACATCCATCCCCTAGACCCCCAAAACCCCAAAACAGGGCTCACTGCCTTCCCCAGAACCCACCTTACTGTCCCCCAGGCCACATTTTCAGTTAAGAACAAGTCCTGTGATTCAGCCTCTTTTGTGTCTCACCTGGGGATCCCTTCCTCTATCCCCACCGCCGGGGGCCCTGGGCCAGGCCTCCTCGGTGTCATGAGAGCTTCCTTGCCCCTCCTGTCTGCCCCCGCTTCAGCCACCCACACACTTCTGCTGCAGTCCCTTGGTTCTCCCATTCTTCCTCCCTCTCTTCCTTCTTTTCCCTTCCTCCTTTCCTTCCTTCCTTCCCTCCTTCCTTCCTCTTTCTTTCAAAAGACATGATGTACATCACCATTGTAAAGCAATTTTTCCGTACATATAATCCCTGGAGGAGCTGCATTGTCTGTGCACTCACCGATCCCCTGCTGTGTGGGAGGCCCCAGGGAGCTGTCCATAGGCTATGGACGCCTGGAGCAGCAGGGCAAGGTCAAAGGAAGGAGGAATCTTTCAAAAACACAGGTGCGAGCTTCTCCTCCCCCGTCATGGTGTCGGAAATAACAGCCTGAGGGGAGTCCAGAGCAGGGCTCATCCCGGCCTGGTCTGGGCTCCGCCAGCCTCCTCATTTCTTACCCCTTTCCCCTCGCACCTCAGGCTCCCAGCACACCAAGGCCTTCTAGCCAAGTGCTCCCTCACCTCTGGCCTCGTTCTCCTGGTGCCTTCCCCTCACCGCCTCACCAATCCAGCCTGGCTTATCTTTCTGGCCAGGCCAGGCCTCACCTCTTTGGAAAGGGCTCCCTGATCCCCTCCCCACAATCCATTCAGCTGGGAGTGCTCAGTGGGCCTGTGATACAGACACATCCCCAGTCCTCGTGGCCACAGAATGGTTTATGCTGGATCATCACCGTCCGTTTACACTCCATCACCCTTCCCGTGTGGCCCCTGTCCAGGCACAGAAGAGGCACTGGAGGATGCTGTGAAATGAATGAATGGATGAACACTTTTGAAAGCATGGCTCTAGGAGGGCAAAGAACTCCAGGCAGGGATTCTGAAGTCTCTATGGTTCAAGCCATAGCTGGGCAGTTGATGCTGAGAGCCTTAGCAAGCCACTGTCCCTTTCTGGACCTCAGTGTCCCCACCTCTAAAATGGGAATAGTTACTAACCCAGCTGTGCTCCTGTCACAGGACCATTGATGTAGAGAGATGTAAGTAATTGTAATATGGGACCAAGGTTCTATGGGAAGCTTTTGCAACTTTGCCAGTCGTGCTCTTGGGTCAGGACCTGGATACTTCCTTTCCAACCCAGGGGAGAGGAGAAAAGACTGGGGAGGGGTAAGAGGAGAACAGGAGCCAGGACCTCCCCCACTCCCAGTGTGCCAACAGCTCCCTCCAGCATAGTTGGGAGAGCCCTGGCCCTTCTCACTGGTTACCCTCAGACTGGGGTGGAGGGAGGTCTGCACCTGGAAGGCTTGGCCAGGTTGCCTTTGCTGCCTGCTCCAGGTTTCTGGGGTTTGCTAAGAAATCAGGCTGCACAGTCCCAGCTTGTCTGAGTCTTAGGCCTGCTAGGCAGAGAGTTTTCTGTCCATACTGGGTGGGGAGTGGGGTCACTGCCTCCCCAACCTGAGCCTCTCCTGGCTCCTACAGAGGAGGCATTGCCAAAGCAAAGCTGAGCCCTCAGGAGAAGCCCCTACCTTTCTAAGAAGGGCAAGGCAGGCATTATGGGAGTTCTTAGTCTAACTCCCAGGGAGCAGCAGGTGACTTAGAAGGACAGACTTGGTGGGCTAAATGGAACCTGGAAATTCCCACCAACTCTCCCCTGTTCAGCTGTCCTGAAGGTGCCCAGTAGAAAGCCTTGATGTTGTGTGCATCTTGTGGACACCCTTTCTTTGGCCCTCTTTGGCATGCAGTCAGTCCAATTGCCCTGGTGTCCAGCAGCTTCAGGTCTCATCCAGGGTGGGCCTAGCCATCTGCAAGCCTGTGCTGTGGCCAGTTTGCCCCTCATCAGAGCCAGCTCTGGTCAGCATTTGGCCCTGGGAGGCCCCGGGGCACTGGACTCTGCAGAGCCTAAGATGCTTTCTTTATGCCACAACAATGGGCAAAGGCAGAGGAGCCAAACAGCAGGGGATAGGCATAAAAGCCCTTCTCAGCTGGGCATTTTATGAAGTATTGGGGCCTTTTCACCGCATACTTCTCACCCAGGCCCAGCCTAGCCGCCAACATCAGACTCCAAGTAGTGGATACTCACCTCAGGCAGGCCAAGCTGTGGACAGAGGCAGGTCATCCAGACAGAGACAGGACCCCCTGAGATGAGTTTATAATCTGGATGACCTCAGGAGATGAGCACTCTCCCCATCCTGAGTAATGCCCACCTGGGGGTCCCCAGCAGCCTCTACCCTCACCTCTGTCAAAGGCTGCGGTTTCACCTTGGCCCCCCTCTCCACCTCCTCTCCACTCCCCTTCCCCAGGTGCCTCACCTATTCCCATGCCTTCAGATGCCAGCTCCGTGCTGTGCTTTCTGGTCTGTGCCTGGAGCTCTCAGCCTCTGAGCATGGGGCTGCTGCCTGCGGCCACTTGGGATGCAAACCACCCAACTCCACACCATGCCAGCAGGTGCCATTCTCAGGGTCACAGTGTGGATGGCACCCTCTGCAGCTGTGCACCTCAGTGGCCTTGTGGGTCCACACTCCTGAGTTGTCTCTGGAGCCACCTCTCCTGTTATCCCACAGGGTATCCCACTGGCCCTCAAATAGGCCACTGCCTTTCCGAGCTCACCATCTTCCTCCTCATTGTGCACCCCCAAGTGTACCACGCAGCCCCCCTACCCCACCCATGCACTTAGTTCCCCAGGCTTAACTAAGGACCACCACACGCTGCAGGAGGCATTCTCCAGACCCATTGGGATCTGCCATCCCCCGTGGGCAGGAGCGGGGGCAGGGAGGCGTTGTAGCAACTCTTCTGCCCTGAGTCCAGGGCTGTTCCTGTGAGGCCCTGTGGCATCGAGGGCTCTGAGGAAGCAAGGAGCCTGGGACCCATACAACTGACTGTGTGTGTGTGTTTTCCCTCAACAGGACTGCACCTTCTTCAATAAGAAAGACATCCTCAAGTAAGTGTGGCTTCTTCACCCTTTTGGGCCTGGGACTGGGGCAGGGGTGGGGGCCAGGAGACCCCGTGGGGGCTGACTGTACTAGCGGAGCTGAGACAACACTGTTCTCCATCAGGAGCCACATTCAGGCCTTAGCTTCACCCCTGGGCTACTGGAGGGACTTGAGAACTTCCTGCTCCTCCCAGGGCCCAGATCTTTCTGCCAGGAATTGAGGGTCTACTTACTACTTGCTGGACTCTGGGATAGGTGGTTTCAGGCCCATTTTCATTTAATCCTCACTGTGACCTTGTAACAAGAGTACTTTTTTATCCCCACTTTACAGATGAGGTTTAGCAACTTGGCCAAAGTCACACAGCCAGGGACTGAAGACCTGGACTTCTGACTCCAGGTCCCTTGCTATTTCACTGCATCCTGGGGCCTGCTACAGCAGGGAGTCCCTGTCTGTTAGACTAAGGGTCCCTAAGGACTCTCTGGCTCTGGCTGTGGTGTCTTTCCACTCCTGGGATGTCTAAAAGTCAGAGGCATGCCCACCAGCCTTGAGATGTCCTCCAGAGGTCTCCTTCCTTCCCAGGACAGCCCCTGTCTTTGGGGTTGGGGTATGGGCCAGGATAGGAAAGATCAGCCTCAGAGCCCCAGGCCAGACAGTGAGCAGGAATCACAGAATGCCAGGAAACCTGCCCCACACCCTTGCTGGGCTCCCCTGCCTGGGCTATCAGGTGGCACTAAAAGCCAGCAAAGTCTCAGGATCACTTCCAATGGAGATCGATGGACAGGCTAGGGCCTGTTGCAGCTTCCAAGAGAGCCGTGTTGCAGTTTGTCACTGCCCTGACCTCTGCTTGGACAGGCAGTGCCCCTCAGCTTTTGCTCTCTGCCTGGCTGTCGTTCTAACCTGTCTCCTGGGTGGGCAGGGGACACCCCACTTCCACCACCTCAGAGAGGCAGGGTGAGGAGCAAAGCCCCCAGGCCTGGCATCGGTCGGCCTGGGCTCTACCCCCACGTCCTGGCTCTGTGGCCTTGGGCAAGCATTTGACCTCCCTGAACCTCAGTTTCCTCTGCAGAAGGGGGTTGATGATACCCACCCTCATAGCGCTGCTGAGAGTCAGTCACACCAGAGTGCGGTGTTTGATAAATGGGATTTGGCCTGTAGCTTGCGTGATGGCAGAGCTGAGGTTCCCCTTTGGACAGGATGGTTCCCAGCACTGTAATAACACAGCCACAGCCGCTGGCATTCTTGTGGCACCTCTTACTTTTCCAAGATCTTGACATAAATCCTCACTTAAGCCTGACCATGTTTGTCCTCTGTTGAAGGGAGCTCCATCACCCCGCTCCTGTCTTTGTGGATGCCAAGCCCAAGGGCTGCTTGTCCCCTGAGGCCCACGACCATTTCCATCTGGCAGTGAAGGCCCCTTGCCCAGCCTTTGTACTGGCTGTCCCCACTGCCTGGAGAGCCCTTTCTCGTCTCCTCTACCCACAGCCTGGCTCTGCATCCTTTTTGTCCCAACTCCAGAGTCATCTCCTTCACGAGCCTCCGACTCCCTGCCCCTCCCAGTGCTCACATAGCTGCTCTTACAGCCTGGTAGGGGCTCTGTGGGCTTGTGGGTTCTGGTCGCCCCTAGACTTGCCATCAGGCAGGACTCAGGCCTCCCCGAGCCTGCCATCAGGCATGGTACCTGTTAGCCACCTGTGAGCACTTAAGAGTGTGGGGGTGAAGGACGGATAGGATTGGCTAGGGGAGCACGTTATAGGCTGGGGAGCAGCAGGGATGAGGACATAGGCCCCTCCACCCCACCCTCCAGTGGTCTTACTGAGAGCACCAAGGTTGCCCGTAGGGGAAGAGGGGAGAATGGTACAAAGGCCAGACCAGGAATTGGATCCAATATGATAGGCCTTAGGGGGTGTTCCTGGCACTTGGCGAGTGAGGGACTTGGGGAGGGCCCCCCACAGATCTGGCCTGCCTAACTCTGCACCCATCGGCACCCCAGTTCTGTAGCTCCGCACCAGAGCAAAGGCCAAGACTGGGTCCCAAAAGGGGTGAAGGAGCCCTCTAGGCAGCTGGACACCCCTTCCATAGCTCCCTCTGCCTGTTCTGTCACTGCTTCATTCAGGCTCTGCCTCTGGGTTAGCACTCATTGGGACCCAGGGGACTAGACTTGGTGCTTTTTCTGCAGAGTGGTCATGGGTGGAGGGGAGAGAGAGGAAGCCCCCCTGGGAGCAGGAGCCCTGGGATCTGGTCCCCACTGTGTCACACCTTCTGTGTCTCAGTTGCCATATCTGCAGCCCGAGGATGACAGTGCTTACTAGAGCTGTTCTGTGGCTGGGAAGGCTGGGTGACAGTGGAGTTAATCAGCACAAAGGGCTACCTGGTGTTTCATTGCCCACCCATCCACCCTTAGGGAAGGATAGTGAGACAAAGCAGGGTGTGGGGTTCCTATCCATGGAGGGACCAGGCCTGGCCATGTTCCAGTTCCAGCCCCTTCACTTTTCTCCAGTCTTCTCTCTGGGCTCCAGTAGAGGCCAGCGTGACTGACACCTTGGCCAGGCGAGCCCTCTCCATCATTCACATCTCAGGTCCAGGTGGCATAACTGAGGCCGGGAGCCCAGAGAGGGCAAGGAGCCAAGACCAGCCCAGCAGCACCCTGCAGGTCAGCCACGGAGCCTGGGCCACTGCGTGTCTGCCCCTCCCAAGGGCCTTTCAGTGCTTCTGTCCCCGTCCCCACCTGAGTGGTTTGCTTGGTAAGCTGCACCCTGAGTACTGACCAGATGGCGAGGAGGAAACTTGAGCAGGAGGGTTTTCTTTGCAGCTTGGGGCCCAGCTCTCTGGTAGCCTTGGGTCAGTGATACCAAGTCACAGATAACCATGGGGGCAGTTCTTCCCACCCAGGTAGCTCCAATTGCTCCCCAGGGGATAGTTTTTCCACCCCTACACTGAGCACAAGTGGTCCGGCCACCTTGCTTTCTATAGGTAAGAGCTGGTGCTTTGATTCCCCCCTCATTAGGCTGTGCTCCTGAATGAGTGGGACAGGAGTCCTTGTCCCTTTGGTACAGAGAGGCCCACCCAGCCAGCACCCCAAGCTATTTGCCTATTTGTTGCTTTATTGTTTACTTTCTCAACTTTTTAAACACTTTGTGTAATCTATTTTAGTTATCTTTAAGTTTTTATTACACATGTAATACAGGATGAGTGTAGAAGAATTAGAAAATAAAGCCTGTAAAGAGAAGTGGAAAAAATTACCTAAATCCTACCGCCCAGAAATAGAGACTGGTAATCTTTTGGTATCTGTTGTACCAGTATTTTTCTTTCGTATGTGTTTACCAAAAAGTCAGATTGTGTTGTTTTGAAATATGCTTAAAATTGTTTTTCCTTAGGCAAATTGTAAAAATAGGTAAAGCTGTGGAAAACAGTATGGTGGATCCTTAAAAAATTAAAAATAGAACCACCATATGATGCAGCAGTTCTTTCTGGGTATATACCCAAAATAATTGAAAGCAGGGTCTCAAAGAGATATTTGCACACCCATGTTCACAGCAGCGTTATGGACAAGAGCTAAAAGGTGGAAGCAGCCCAAGTGTCCATCAGCAGATGAATGGATAGATAAAATGTGGTATATATATGGAGAGGAATATTCTTTAGCCTTAAAAAGGAAGGAAATTCTGGCCGGCCCGGTGGTGCACTCGGTAGAGTGCGGCACTTGGGAGTGTGGCGGCGCTCCCGCCGAGGGTTCGGATCCCATATAGAGACCGGTCCGCTCACTGGTTGAGCGAGGTGCGGGCGCGACACCGAGGGTTGTGATCCCGTTGCCGGTCACGAAAAAAGACAAAAAAAAAAAAAAAGGAAAAGGAAAAAGGAAGGAAATTCTAACACATGCTACAACATGGATGTACCTTGAGGACATTATGCTGAGTGAAATGAACCAGTCACAAAAGGACAAATACTGTATGATTCCACTCATGTGAGGTACTTAGAGCAGGCATATTCATAGAGACAGAAAGTAGAATGGTAGTTGTCAGAGGCTGGGTTAGGGGGAAGGGGGATGTTAGTGTTTAATGGGTACAGTTTCAATATTGTAAGGTGGAAAGAGTTCTGAAGATGGACGGTGGTGATGGTTGTACGACAATGTGAATGTACTTAGTGCCACTGAACTGTACACCTAACAGTGGTTAAGATGGTAAACTTTATGTTATGGACATTTTACTACAACTTAAGAAAGATTTTTGATGGTTAGGATGGTAAATTTTATGTCATTTTATCACAATTTTTAGAAATTAAAAAAATAATATTGAGTAATTTATTGATAAGAAAAAAGAAACAAAAATTATCTTACCCCCATCCCCACCACCTGAGATGATCACTGCTAACATTTTAGTGAACAGCCTTCCTTTTGGTCTTTCTTTTCTTTGGTGTATAGATGTGGACACTCTTATTTATTTATTAATTTATTTTTAATGGGATCATACTGTACATTCTGCTTTTTTCCCTTAACATCTTGTGAACAACTTTCAATATCATTAGATATTCTTCTATAATATTTTAAATGGTTGCTTTTTTTTTTTTTTAAAGAAAAATTTTTTTTCAGTGAATGGTTGCTTTTAATGGATGTTCCTTCCTTCATTTTGCTGGACATTTAGGTTTCCAACTTTTCACATTTTAATTAGTACTGCAGTGAATATCCGTAGGCACCATCACAGAACTGCACATGTCTGGGATTATTTCCTTAAGGTAAATTTCTAACAGATTTCAGGATCAAATATATGAATATTTTTAAGACTTTTGATTTTTGCCCACACTGGCTGTTAAATGTTTTTTGTCTTCTGACCTCAAATCATTTACTAAATAACCCAAAGTTCTGAAAACTCAGCCACCTATAGCACCAACATACACTGTACATAAATGAAGCCATCCAGTCTGGTGGGAACGCTTTAGCCCTGGTATTTGCAGAAACAGCTGCTCCCAGCTCCAGCTAGTTGTTGCCTTGGGGGAATCCAGGCTCAGTGTGATTGGC